TATATCTTCAGGAGCCATATGGTTGAAGAAGAGAACCAATTGCCACAAGTTGTCCTCTAACTTTCATACCTGTGTCATGACATGAGTTCACACAAATGCACACACACACACACACACACACACACACACACACAGAAATAAATATGTAAATGTGATAAAAATTCTTTATAAATACATTTAATTTCTTCCTTTTAATTCTTATGTAATAAAAGGTCCAAATCCCAATGTCAGTATAGAACTACAGATATGTTGAGAGAATAAACAGTACTCATGCAGAAATGGAGTAAGGTAGTTTCTATGCTAGTTGGTAATGTTCTTTGATCTCTTAAGTGCCTCAGTTTTCAGTCTGAAAATACAAAGACAACAAGGGCCAGTAAGGTAGCTCAGTAGGGAAAGGTACTTGCTACCAAGCCCAAACACCTGAGTTGAATCCTCAGGATGTATATGGGGGAAGAAGAAAACTGACTTCACACTCATGCCCCATACACAAGCAAATAAATGTAATTTTAAATATAAAGATTTCCAGATTATAAAAACAACATTCTCTTTGATGAATCATGAATGCACACTATCAGTCTCAAGTATTTTTAGTTAGCTTTAAATGAAAAGATACTGGACCAATTTGTTAGAAGTTAATTTTCTACATTTGCTGGCCTTTCCAAACTTTTTATTGAAACTTTAAGACAATTAAAACTTTTTTTGTCCAAAATTTACATTAGAGACTGGTACTGAGATTTGTTTTTTCATTATTGCTGCTGTTGTTAGAAAGAGTCTTACTAGGTAACTCATGAAGGCATAGAATTCACTGTGTAAACAAGGCTGGCCTTGAACTCACAGACATCTGTTGGCCTCTGTCTCCCTAGTGCTGATGTTAAAGGCATGTAACACCACACATAACTGTTTCTGTTTATTTCTATATTCTTTTAAAAATATATACTTGCCTGAATATTTGTACATGTGTAATATGTATACCTGTAGTTGTAGGGGCTAAATTAGGGTATCAAAGTCCCTGCAACTAAAACAACAGGTTGTAAATAGTCCTCTGCAAGAGCAACAACTGCTCTTAATTTCTGAGCCATTGGTCTAGCTCCCTGAAATGATATTCTTGTTTTATTTTACACTTAGTCTGAAATAAAAGAACATATGCAGCTGTTCTTATAACACTGTTATAAGAATGGACTTATTTAAAAATGGATGAATATACAAGAAAGAGGAGGAGGAGTCAATTCTCTGAGACTTTCGGTGTTTTTAAAATATTTTCCTTTCTGTTGTAATCACTTTAGACAGGAATGAAAAAGAAAGACATTACTAAACTTAAGATTTAACTTTTTCCAAGATGAAAAACCTAGACTGAAATTTTCTAACAGAACATGGATGAATAAAACAAGCAGACTCCTGAGGTGACAATAGGAAGGTCAGAAGTCGGAGACCATTTTGGATTATCTAGCAAAATCCTGCCAGACACACACACACACACACACACACACACACACATACACACACAGACACACACACAGACACACACATGGTGCAGGGGGGAGAGAGAGAAAGAGAGGGAGGGAGAGAGAGAGAGAGAGAGAGAGAGAGAGAGAGAGAGAGAGAGAGAGAACAGATAACAAAGAGATATAATGTGGTTATGGAGAATCCCTTGAAGACTATCTAGGCAAAATAACAAAAATCTCGGGAAAAGACAAAAGCACTTTTGATGACCCATAGTTAGTTATGTGTGTCCATTGCTGAAGTTGGTCCAAAGACTAAGAAATCTGTATAAAACATTAGTTAGAACTGAGTCAGAGAAGCCTTACTCTTTAAGGGTTTGCCATATTAATCAATTCACTATCCCCAATAGATAATGACAGTTCTGACAAAACTTGGAAATCACAGACCTTGGTACTGAAAGCCATGAAGAGACAGAAATGAACTAGATTTACAATAGTCTTTTCATCTCTTATCATCTCAACTTTCTAGTTAATCCATGTCAGGGATGCCAGTAAGCAGAGTGAGAAATGGACATCAAGAAGGAATCTAAATTCTTCTCAAAATCCCCAAAACCAACACTTGCCTTTGGTGGAGACAGAATTTCAAAGAAGCTGCTGAATCATTTAATAGTCTCCATAAACCTATTATGAACCAAAGTTTCATGTAGTATGAAATGGAAGGGTGGGAGTCACTGACAACCCAGAATGAATCCAGTTCCTTACAATAAAATAACACCGAGATTCACAAATGATCACCAGGGTTGAGAAAGCCCTGACAGCTCTAATAGGCTAGAATGACCTTAATGTGCTTCCAGAAGAAGCCAACTCAAGTGCTTAGATGTCATAGCCATTAGTAACTTAGGCCAAATGACATGATTATATCTACAATGATGCATTACACTAACTCTTTTTCTCCAGGGGCTGCAATATGCTAACAAGAAAAACAAATGAACAAAATTCATTTAGATTTAATATCTCTAAGAATGAAATTTCACAATATGCTTTCTCATCAACAGTTTGATAAACACATATTTTAAGATATTCTCCAAAATTAGTTAGTCAAGAAGCAACCCCTAACCTGTAGGAAAAAAATTAGAGGAATAGAATGTAAAATAAATTTCCATCTGAATTTTTAAAAAAGATATTTGCTCACCTCCCTTTTCATCTGCACAGTCTGCCAGTCAGGGCTTATGGGAATTTCTTCATGGTGTGTTACATACCATAGAGAAGTTAATTGCTTCTCATCAGTTTATGTAAAAAAAAGAAATCCTGTTTGTTGTCAACCTAGAATTTGTACCTTCCATAAAACAAATGGTTTAAGGAGTGAGAAATATGGCCGAGGAGTTAAGAGCACTTACTGCTCTTGTAAAGGACCTGAGTTTGGTTTCCAGTATCCTTGTTGGGTGGCCAGTCCCAGAGGAATCCAACATCTCTGGCATCCTTAGGCACCTATACTCATAGGAGCACACGCATACACAATTATTAATGTTTTTTTTTATTTTAACAATTAAAGAAAATTAGAAAATCTGGAGAATATCCTCCTTTATGTATTAGGTGGGGCCAGTACCCAGTCAGGAGGCAAGTCTTGTGAACCCTGTGCCAAATAGCTACGTGAGCAAATAGTGAGATAAACAAGCCATTCCTGGAGACAGAGGTGGAGCCGGGATTTCAATGAATCAGGTCATCCCACAGAGTGGGTGGCTCCTTCCTAAGTTGCTCCCTGGGGCACAATTAAAACCCCTATAAAAGGCCAGGCTCCCAGTTACCTAGCACACTTGCCAGCAGTGTCAGCGAGCACTTGTCTTCTTCCTCTGGTGAAGTGGGTAAGTTCCATTCTATGGGATGGTATTCTATAATTCCTCGTTTTCTAGCCACGGTACCTATTAGGAGAAGAGAGGTAGGTCCTATCTTCCAGAAGGGACCTCTACCTTCTGGTGTTGGCTAAATCTCATTTCATCTGCTGCCTACTGGGTTTTTTCTTTTTTGTCTGGCCTAGAACTTACTATACAGACCAGGCTGGTTGCAAACTCACAGGAATTCACCTGCCTCTGCCTCTTGGAAACGAGGAATAAAGGGATGAACCAGCATGCTTGGCTTACTCCATCTCCTCATGGTTGGAGCCATTAGTTGAATGAAAAGCAGCAACTCTGCCAAGGCTCTGAACTCAATACTACACACATCAAGAAATATTGTATGTGCCTCTTATGAAGCTCATCTTTCTGAAAAACTATGATCTCAAAAGTGGGCAAACCCTTTTGATCTTTTTTGTATGCATAGGCATTTTTATACATCTGAATTGGTGTATGAGATATTGAAGTTGAAATGATATAAAGAACTCACCTAAGTGCAGTGCTGTGCAGGCAGCCAGCAAAGCCATCCAAATATTCTTTTTTAAAAGATATATTTATTTTTTATGAATATGAGTACACTGTAGCTGTCTTCAGATACACCAGAAGAGGGCGTTAGATTCCATTGCAGATGGTTGTGAACCACCATGTGGTGGCTGGGATTTGAACTCAGGACCTCTGGAAGAGCAGCCAGTGCTCTTAACCACTGAGCCATCTCTCTAGCCCCCAAATATTCTTTTAACACCAGTCTGTTGCTGGATAAGGCTTTGTTGTTGCTGTATATTTTGCTTTGTTCTGGCATTATGGGAATTGAACATATTATCTCGAACATACTAGCAGTCATTTTACCAGTGAACTACGTTCCCAGAGTCCTCCCTTTTTAATAATCCAACATTCAAATTATTTACTTGAGTTTAACAAAGTCAGCCCTAAGAACAATATCATTCAAAGTTCTCCAGGTTTGTTTGACTCACTGACCCTGCCTAGCCAAATAGAAAGGATCTCTCAAATAATTTTCAATAATAGAAGATTGGATAGCCATAGTATAACTGAGTTAAGGTATACAGCATGTATTCTGTTTTTCTGCCTTGTTCTATCTAGATGTTACAATGTTTTATTTGGATAACATGAATTAGTGTCTTATGGGCTATACATTTAAGGAATAATTCACATTTCCTTTGTTCTGTGTGCTGCAATGTTCTTGGAGACACAGTTGGCATGCATGGTCACATATTCACGTCTGAAGATGCTCAAGTCTCTCTCCACATCTTTGCTTTTGCCTATCCTCTTTGCTCAACTTTGAGAGTTGCTATGAGTAGTAATATGTAGAATTTAAATTCTTGCCCTCATCTCTCCACTCTCTGCTCTGAAATATGATGAAAAACAGGAGGAGGGAGCTTATGGATAATCTATACTGATGAACAGTGAAAAGTTGACTTAATATAGTTTAAAGATGATTTATTGGCTTAGAACTTTTCAATATTGTTCTCCCTCTCCCTGAATACAGTATTCAAAGATAAAATGCTCTGAAAATGCAAGTTAAAAGAACTATGAGTGACATGTCCAAAGATCTGTTTAAATCAGTGTGAATGAAGTTTCCCCGAAGTCAGAAGCAGAGATTTGACTCTGAATCCTATTTTATTGTTCTAGGTTTACTTGAATTTTAAGAAAAAAAATGTCTCCACTTATAAGAAGCATTGTTGATATCACCGAAGTTTTCAATCAATATGCATCACAAAGTTGTGATGGAGCATCACTTAGCAAGAAAGACCTGAAAAACCTCCTTGAGAGAGAACTTGGAGATGTCCTTCAGGTAAGACCTCACACACAAAAAAGAAATCTATAGGTATGGGGCTATCAATTTTCCTCCCAAGAAAGACCAGAACAATGAACATTGATTAATATTGTTTTAAAATATGACAGGTCTACATTCATTTTTGAGCCTGAGGTATTTAAATCTGTATTGTAATCTGAGTACTAAAGAAGTTAATAGTGTATATTTAATGGTTTTGACGGCATAGTTAATAGGAATGAAGTGTAAGTTAATAGGGCATTACCACTAATGATGCCTGATCAAGTTAGTAGAACTGAAGAGACTCCCCCCACCTTCCAACTTTCAGCAACAGAAATCTGTCTGTTTCTCAGTTAAAACGGCATTGCTGTAAATATTTCAGTTCTTCTTCAAACATGGAATAAAAATTAAATCAGAAGCCCTAATTAAATCAGGAGCACTGGCTATTTCAAGTAGAAATGTCTGTTAGAAGTCTTCATAAGATTTCATTTTATTGATCACAAGGATGAAAGCATTCTTATTCACTCATCTAGAAAAAAATTTGTTGTTTTGATCAGCACACGATTACAAAAATTTCCAACAAGGGTATGTTTTGAAATGAGCTGTTCAATTATCTGGGAAAATAAGACGACATACAGTGCACATTTTCTTTTCTTTTCCTTTTTTCTTTTTTAAGATTTATTTCTTTTATGTGAGTACACTGTCGCTTCTTTCAGACACACCAGAAGAGGGCATCAGATCCCATTATAGATGGTCGTGAGCCGCCATGTGATTGCTGGGAATTGAACTCAAGACCTCTGGAAGAGCAGTCAAGTGCTCTTAACAGCTGAGGCATCTCCCCCACCCTACTGTGCATTTTCTAATCGCTCCGAATATCCCCCACTAAAACAGGTGTGAGAGGAAAAGCTTACTATTTATAAATAATTAATTATAAAACTTTTTAAAAATCTTTTCATAGACACCACATGACCCTGAGACGGTAGACCTGACCCTAGAGCTTCTCGATCGCGACTGCAACGGACGTGTTGATTTCAACGAATTCCTCCTGATAGTTTTCAAGATTGCTCAAGCTTGCTATTATGCTCTCGACCAGGCCACACAGCTAGGCGAGAAGAGAGCCCTGCCCAGGGAAAAAAGGAACCTGTCACAAGATCGCAGGCAAGAAGACCAAAGGAGATTCGAGCTCCGGGACAGACAACTGGACGAAGAACCTGGGCGCCGAAGCCGGCAGAAGAGACTTGAGCAGGAGGAGCGCGCTGAGGAGCAGAGGTTGGAGCAGCTCGACAGGCAGCACCGCGACGAAGAGCAGCGACTGCAAAGGCGAGAACTGCAAGAACTGGAGGAGCGCCTTGCAGAGAAAGAGCCGCTAAGCTCGAGTAAGGGTCGTGACGCTGAGGAGTTTTCTGAGGTAGAGGAACAGCAAAGGCGAGAGAGACAGGAACTCAAGGGCAAGGGCCAAACAGAAGAGAGAAGGCTGCAGAGGCGCCGGCAAGAAGAGCTGCGCGAACCCCAGCTGAGGCGCGATCAGGAGCTGAGGCGCGATCAGGAGCTGAGGCAGGAACTGAGACGCGAACAGGAGCTGAATCGCAGGCAGGAGCTGAGGCGCGAACAAGAGCTAAGGCGCGAGCAGGAGCTGAGGCAGGAACTGAGACGCGAACAAGAGCTAAGGCGCGAGCAGGAGCTGAGGCAGGAACTGAGACGCGAGCAGCAGCTGAGGCAGGAACAGAGGCGCGAACAAGAGCTAAGGCGCGAGCAGGAGCTGAGGCAGGAAATGAGACGCGAGCAGGAGCTGAGGCAGGAACTGAGACGCGAGCAGGAGCTAAGGCGCGAGCAGGAGTTGAGGCAGGAGCTGAGACGCGAGCAGGAGCTAAGGCGCGACCAGGAGCTGAGGCAGGAACTGTGGCGCGAGCAAGAGCTGAGGCAGGAGCGGAGGCGCGAGCAGGAGCTGGCTGAGGAGGATGAGCAGACACGGGTCCAGGAACCCGACGAGAGCATCACCCAGAGGTGGCAGTGGCAGCTCGAAAGCGAGGCAGAAGCCCGTCAGAACAAGGTCTACTCTAGGCCTCGCAGGCAGGAGCAGAGGCTTCGTCAGGAGCTGGAGGAGCGTCAGCTCCGGGAGCAGGAGGAGCAGCGCCGCGACCTCCAACGGCAGCGTACCGCTGAGGAGGCGCGCGAGCGCAACCAGCGTGAGAGGCGGCAGCGGGCGGAGGAGCGCCTGGAGCAGGAGCAGAGGTTCCGGGAGGAGGAGCTGCAACGAGCAGAGCTCCAGGACAGCCTCCTAGAGGAAGAACAGAGGCGGCGCCATGAGGAACGTCGGGAGCCAAACAGGAGCAGGCAACTGCGCGAAGAAAGCCAGAGGCGCCACACACTGTACGGCAAACCTAGCCAGAGGCAACGTAGGGAGGAAGAGCTACGCGAGGAGCGACTGCTGCGAGAAGAGCAGCGCCAGCAGCGGGAGAGGCAACACCGCAGAGAGGAGGATCTGCAGCAGGAGGAAGAGCGGCTGCAGCAAGACGAAGAGCAACTGCAGCGGGAAAAGAGGCGCCTGCAGCGGGAGAGGCAGTATCAGGAGGAGGACCTGCAGCAGGAAGAAGAGCGGCTGCAGCAGGAGGAAGAGCGGCTGCAGAGAGAAAGGAGGCGCCTGCAGCAGGAGAGGCAGTATCAAGAGGAGGACCTGCAGCTTCAGGATGAAGATCAGCGTAGGGATCTGAAATGGCAGTGGCAACCAAGGAAAGAAAATGAAGTTCGTAGTAACAGGCTCTTCGCCAAACGCAGAGAGGATGAGGAAACGATCCAGCAGCTGGAAGATTCTCGGGAGCGAGAGAGACGTCAGGATCGGCGGCCTCTGCAAGACGAAGAGGAAGAGAAGAGAGAGCTGGAGCAGGAGAGGAGGCGCCGACAGCAGCGCGACCGTCAGATCCTAGAGGAAGAGCAGCGTCAGCGAGAGCACCACCGGGAAGCCAAAAGACTAGATGAGGGGTTCCAGGAGGAAGAACAGCTTCAGGGAGAATCGAGAAGACGGCAACAGGAGAGAGATGGCAAGTTCCTTGAGGAGGAACGGCAGCTGCGGAAGGAACGGGAAGAACAGAGGCGGCGTCAAGAACAAGAGAGAGAATTCCAAGAGGAGGAACGGCGCCTCCAAGATCGTGAGAAAGAACTTCGGCAGGAGCGCGACAGAAAATCCTGTGAGGAACAAGAGCGCCGCCAGCAGCGTGAGGAAGAGCAGCTAAGGCACCAGGAACGAGACAGAAGATTCCGCCGGGAACAAGAACCCCGCCAGGAGCGTGAGGAAGAGCAGCTGAGGGACAGAAGATTCCGCCGGGAACAAGAACCCCGCCAGGAACGTGAGGAAGAGCAGCTGAGGGACAGAAGATTCCGCCGGGAGCAAGAACCCCGCCAGGAGCGCGACAGAAGTTTCCGCCGGGAACAAGAGCTCCGTCAGGAACGCGAAGAAGAGCAGAGGAGGCGCCAGGAACGTGAGAGAAAATCCCGTGAGGAACAAGAGCTCCGCCAGGAACTCGAGGAAGAGCAGCTGAGGGACAGAAAGTTCCGCCGGGAACAAGAGCTCAGACGCGACAGAAAATTCCGTGTGGAAGAAGAGCGCCGCCAGGAACTGGAGGAAGAGCAGCTGCGTGGCCAAGAGCGAGACAGTTTGAGGGTGGAGGAAGCGCAGCGCCGCCGCCAGGAATGTGACAGAAAATCACGCCGGGAACAAGAGCTCCACCAGGAACTTGAGGAAGAGCAGAGGAGGCGCCAGGAACGTGAGAGAAAATCCCGTGAGGAACAAGAGCTCCGCCAGGAACTCGAGGAAGAGCAGCTGAGGGACAGAAAATTCCGTCGGGAACAAGAGCTCAGACGCGACAGAAAATTACGTGAAGAAGAAGAGCGCCGCCAGGAACTGGAGGAAAGGCAGCTGCGTGGCCAAGAGCGAGACCGTTTGAGGGTGGAGGAAGCGCAGCGCCGCCGCCAGGAATGTGACAGAAAATCACGCCGGGAACAAGAGCTCCGCCAGGAACTTGAGGAAGAGCAGAGGCGGCGCCAGGAACGTGAGAGAAAATCCCATGAGGAACAAGAGCTCCGCCAGGAACTTGAGGAAGAGCAGCTGAGGGACAGAAAATTCCGTCGGGAACAAGAGCTCAGACGCGACAGAAAATTCCGTGAAGAAGAAGAGCGGCGCCAGGAACTGGAGGAAAGGCAGTTGAGCCACCAGGAACCCGACAGAAGATTCCGCCGGGAACAAGAGCTCCGCCAGGAGCGCGAGGAAGAGGAGCGCCGCCAGCAGCGTGACAGAAAGTTCCGCCGGGAAGAGGAGCTCCGCCAGGAACTGGAGGAAGAGCAGCTAAGACGCCAGGAACCCGACAGAAGATTCCGCCGGGAACAAGAGCTCCGCCAGGAACGCGAAGAAGAGCAGAGGAGGCGCCAGGAACGTGACAAAACACTCCGTGAAGAACAAGAGCTCCGCCAGGAACTCGAGGAAGAGCAGCTGAGGGACAGAAAGATCCGCAGGGAACAAGAGCTCAGACGCGACAGAAAATTCCGTGAGGAAGAAGAGCACCGCCAGGAACTGGAGGGACAGCAACTAAGGCGCCAGGAACGTGACAGAAGATCCCGCCGAGAACAAGAGCTCCGTCAGGACCTGGAGGAAGAGCGGCTGAGGGACAGAAAGATCCGCCAGGAACTCCAGGAAGAGGAGCTAAGGCGCCAGGAACGTGACAGAAAATCCCGTGAGGAACAAGAGCTCCGCCAAGAACTGGAGGAAGAGCAGCTGAGGGACAGAAAGTTCCGCCGGGAGCAAGAGCTCCGCCGGGAACAAGAGCTCCGCAAGGAGCGCGAGGAAGAGCGGCTGAGGGACAGAAAGATCCGTCGGGACCAAGAACTCCGCCAGGAACTGGAGGAAGAGGAGCTCCGAGACAGAAAGTTCCGCCGGGAGCGCGAGGAAGAGCAGCAGCTCCGCAGGGAGCGCGAGGAGGAACAACTTCGCTTTGAGGAGCAACAGCGGCGCCGCCAGGAACGCGAGCAACAGTTAAGACAGGAGCGGGACAGGAGAGTCCGTGAGGAAGAAGAGCTTCTTCAGGAAAGGGAGGAGCTGCTGCGCCGCGAGTTGGGTGACAGGAAGTTCCAAGAAGAGGAGCGACTCCGCCAGGAAAGAGAGGAACAGCAGCGTCGTCTCCAGGAAAGGGACAACAGAAGATTCCGCAGGGAAGTAGAGCTCAGGCAAGAAAGGGAAGAGCAGCAGCTGCGTTTCCAGGAACGGGAGCAACAGCTTCGCCAAGAGCGCCAAGAGCGTGACAGAAAATTCCGAGAGGTAGAAGAGCTTCGCCAGGAAGAAGAGCAGCGACGCCGCCAGGAGCGTGACAGGGAATTCCGGGAAGAGAAACACCTGCGCGAGGAACAGCAGTTGCGGAGGGAGAAGCGAGATGGTCAGTACCCAGCTGAGGAGCAGTTTGCCAGGGATAAGATTCGTCGCCAGGAGCAAGAAGTACGTCAAGAAGAGGAAGAAAGACGTCGCCAAGAGCGGGAGAGAAAATTACAAGAAGAGCAGATCCGTCGTAGGCAAGAGGAGCAGAGGCGCCGCCAAATCCTGGAGCCTGGCACACGCCAGTTTGCCAATGTACCAGTGCGATCCAGCCCTCTCTATGAGTACATCCAAGAGCAGAGGTCTCAATACCGCGCTTAAAAGATGCTGCCAACATCCTGGCACCAACCAAAGCTTCAAGCAAAAGAAAATGACAAACACTGGGTTATCCAGAGATAACTCACGTGTTTCTGGTTGTGGGAAAACTCTCTGATCTTAGAATGTGTCTTTTCTTACAGAATCTTTTACTATACTCATTTAATTTCTTTCAATTCCTGTCTTTCATTCTTCCTCAGGTAGTTTTTTTTCAAAATGTCATTGTTCTTTAGTGCAGATATGATGTGCACTTAAAAATAAGTCATTTAATATTTCGAACGAATTTTGTTTGAGGAACACATTGATTTATTGTCTTCGTAAATAACAAGAATAATGTGGCAATCTGATATTCAAAGTAATTGGGTCACTATTTTAGTGGTGGATCATTTTGTCTAGAGCCTTCATTTTACGAGTTCAAGTTGACATTTTCTTTGGCCTAAATTTTATTTGTCTTTACCTCCAAATGGTTTTCTCAGGTTTTGTTGCATAATTGTGACAGATTCTATCAGCAGCCTGAAATTTTACAGCCCTCAAATAATGCAGCAGGAGGAGAATTTATGCAGAAAATACCATATGAAATCAGTTCATAACTGGAACAAATCTCTGTTAAAAGAAATGCTTGACAGACAATTATAATTTGGCATTATATTTTTATATTTAATACCACTTAAAAATCCTATGAAGCAAAAGCAAGGTGTTTCTCAAACAACTCAAATTTAAAACTGTAATTGTAGCACTCTGTTCCATTTCCCCAAGTTTTGTCGGGTTCGAGAACTTTTCTACTTTTGTACATTTTGGTTTAGAGGGAACCTACTCAAGATTCTGTAAACATTTGTCTTGTTTGGGTCCAATAAGAGTTCATAAAGTGATGGAAGAAGGAAAGGGGAAAATGTATGAACAGAGGATAAATTTCTAGAGGTCTCTTGATTATACTTAGCAGCTTACAATCCTTTGAGGCCTTATACTACCTGGAAGACATTCTTGTTCAAATAATTGGACTGTTTAAAAAATCAATAAATGTTTGGCAAATAATTTTTCTTGTCTGTTTTAATTATGTGCCTATCACTTCTCATATTGAATTTGGAAAATCATATATTTCTAATATCTTACAGTATTTTTGCTATTAGCTCTGTCCAAATATGAAAGGAAGAAAAGAATCTTTGAGTTTTTTCCTACAAATTTTCCCAATTAAGGTGACTCCTATATTATTTAAGAGTAAGACTTAGATAACAAATTAGAATTTGACATTATATTTCTATACTTAGCACCACTTAAAATTCAAAAAAGCAAAAGCAAGGTATTGCTCAAATAATTCAAATTTAAAACTGCTATTTCATTTCCCCAAGTTTTGTTGGGTTTGAGACTATTACTACTTTTATATATTTCACTTTAGTGGGAACCTACTCAAGACTCTGTAAATATCTGTCTTGTTAGGGGGCCAAAAGGTTTTCAATGAGTGTTGGATGAAGTTAAGGAGTCCCTTATATTATTTCCAGTACCACATAGACTCTCTAAGTGTTTTGTTCTCAATGCTACTGCTTTCTGTATCCTTTCTTGCAGTGATTCACACTGGTCACGACATACTGCACTCCCAATGTTGCTATTTCCTTCTTAAATGGAGTAGCTACTTTGTGCTTAAGCCAGTGATAGAACATGACCTAAAATTTAGGAGCAGCCCTATAGACATAATTAATGACCCAGTGATTTAAACAACATAGTCCATGAGGTGCCTGAATCAGAAAAAATGCTAAATAGTAATTAGTCCAAATGTTACATTACTATCCCACAATGCAGACACCTCCATGCCACTCTATTATCATTGTACTGAATTCTATTATTTAATTGAGTAACTAGGGAAGATTCTCAAAAAGACCTTATTAAGATTATCACTATTTTAGGCCATGTGTAGTGGCACATTCCTTTAATCTCAGCACTCAAAAGCAAAGACAGATGTGTCTTTGAGTTAAAGTCCAGCCTGATCTATGGAGCAAGTTCCAAGAAACCCAGAAATACATACAAAAAAAAAGCCTACCTTAGAAAAGAGACACAGAGAGAGGGAAGAGAAGAGAAAAGAAAATTAGTATTTTTATTTGTGAAAAATCATGGAAAATGCCCTAAAATTGTAGTTGACATTTCAGTCAAAGGATAACAATACAGCTCCTGAGTATCATTTTGGTTGAATAAGGAGACACTTAATTGCAAAGGGTGTAGGCCTTCTCACACTTTAACACAAATGTGAGACGTTCATCAAAAGCAAAGCTAAAAGTTGGTATATCTAGGTTGGGTATTGGGTTACACTTTTGATTTTATGGGTATCTTGTTATTGAGCATTACCAAACTTATAAAGCCTTTGATTAACATTTTTTTTAAAAAAAGTTACTAGCAAAAAAATTTAAATTAAAAAAAGAAGAGAAAAAAAAAAGAAAGAAAGAAAGAAAGAAAAAAAGCAAAGCTAAGAAACCCTTTTGCTTTTCCAAACTATAAAACCATTTTTCCTCCATATATATATTTTCTTCTTTTAACTTCTCCACAGAAGCCCTGAAAGAAATTCAATATTTTCCCCGGGATCCTCATAAAAGATTCTCCTTATAAATCCCCAGCTTGGCTGGACACCCCAGGGGGTGGGAATTTTGAGAGTGGGAAGGTGGGAGTGGGGGGGTAGGTAGGGGTTACATCCACAGAGAAGAAGGAGGAGGGGTGAGGGGATAGGGGGTTCCTGGGTGGGTGAGGGATGGGGTAAGGGGACAACATATGAAATGTAAATAAAACATCAAAAAAAAATCCCCAGCTCCAGGACGTTATACTTACCAGTTATGCTACAGTTCAACAGTAGTGATGAAAGCCATTCAGACTTCTTATAGCACCTTACAAATGAGGAAAACATCAGTTTCTACAGATTGTTTTATCAATTTTAATAATACCCTTTTTTGACAAGTGTATCAGTAAAGCCCTAGCTGCTCATAGCACAGTGGCAGGAAAACTTGGAGGCCAACCATCTTTTTTTTACAGCTATATGATGTACGTATCAGGGGAGGATCTTGATGTTATTGCGCAATTGCATCTTTAACTTCAAACTAGAAGTTCTAGTAGCATTACTTCAACTGTTACTAAGAAATAGGATGGAGAATTGTTTTGTGACAAACTTTCCTGGTAAGGCACAACCCCAGAACTAGAGCTCATGACAGACCAAAGAAACAGTTGCATCAACATCCAACTTGGTGAACCAGTGAGTTTTTAGGTTACTAACAGGAGTACGGGTGAGGGTTAACTTAGTAGGAGTAGAGAGATGACTCAAAAGCAGCTACATCATTGAAAACTCACCTTCCCAACATGGGTAAAGACTCACAAAAGCTACAACTCTGAAACTCTCAACACAGCTTGTCTGTGGCTTCACAGTCCAATAATCCCTTCTCTGAAGTTCTGTTGGTCAGAATCTCTGTCCTTCAACAAGTCTTTACTCCTTTTTATACTACTGGAAGAATACATTCCCTTTTATACTATTGCCCTCAAAAGTCTTCCAAGTGTTGAGCATTGAATACATACAGAGACACAGACAGACACAGACAGACAGACAGACAGGCAGGCAGGCAGGCAGCCAGGCAGACAGACACAGACACAAGCAGAGCGAGAGAGAGAGACAGAGACAGAGAAGACAGATACATAAACTGGTTTATATGTTGTAGCCTTGAGTAACTTTGAATGTATTCTTACTTGGAGATGTAATATTTAAAGAAGTATTTAACATTAAGTTGTTAGTTTGGGTCCTAATCTGCTATAGCTGTTATCCTTATAATAAGAAAATTGAGCACAGACACAAACAGAAGTAGGGAGATATGAAAATGCAAAAAGAAGATCATTACCTATAAGCCAAGGATAAAAGTATGGAACATATCTTTCCTTATAACCCTTAGTAGCCAGTCAAGCTAACACTTTGGTCTTTGACTTCAAGCATTATAGAATGTGAGAAGTAAATTTATTCAAGCCAGTAGTCTGTGGCACTTTGTTATGACAGGCCTGAACAACTAATACAGTACATAAAATAGAACTGTGATCTGTTGGTAGGTAAACAAATGTATTATCATCTTATCCTTAGCATTGTGCAAACAGGTCTTGCTTGGTTGCTTTGATTTTCACTTTTTGTTGCATAATTATCACAGTTTTCTCCATCAGGCTGATATTTACAGCCTTCAAATAATGCAGGGGAGAAACTTCTACAGAAAAAAAAATCTGTATGACATAAGTCTAGAATTGGAAGAAATATCTGTTAAGAGTAAGATTTAGTTGGAAAATTAGAATTTGGCATTATATTTTTATACTTATAAAATATAATGAAGCAAAATAAAATATTTCTCAAACTTTAGAATTCAGAGGAGTTTTGTGGTATAATGAAAATAATCCTATAAGGAAACAAGAATCTAAGGTTTCTTCATTCACTATTCAGTCAATAAATATTTACTGAGCTCAGGATCTTTGCAAAACTTTGTTCCAGGCAATTCATATGCAGGGGTGAAGTAGTAATTCTGAGCTCTTCCTTAACTTTATTCTCTTGAGATTTTTAAAAAATTTTTATTGGTTATTTTATTTATTTACATTTCAAATGCTGTCCCCCTTTCCGGTTTCTCCTCTGCAAACACCCTTTCCCATCCCCCCTCACCCTACTTATATGAGGGTACTCCCCTACCCACCCACCCATTCCCCCTTCACCACCCTAGCATTCCCCTACACTGGGGCACCGAGCCTTCACAGGACCAAGGGCCTCCCCTCCCGTTGATGCCAGATAAGACCTTCTTCCTCTGCTACATATGCAGCTGGACCCATGGGTCCCTTCATGTGTACTCTTTGGTTGGTGGTTTAGTCCCTGGGAGCTCTGTGGGTTCCGGTTAGTTGATATTGTTCTTCCTGTGGGGTTGCAAACCCTTTCAGCTCCTTCAGTCTTTCCCCTAACTCTTCCATTGAGGTCCCCATGCTTAGAAGCTGGAAACAACCCAGATGTCCCTCAACAATGG